AGAATTTGGAATCATACATGTTGCTATTCGAATAAAAAGAAATGCTTAGATGAATTGGATGACGTGGGAAATTGTATGCAGAAGTAATTATTGGCAGATTCACACAATCATCAAACGAACACAAACGAATGCTCTTAATATAGTGGACTGCATGCATTGCTCTGTTGTGCTTTTGAAATATCTCATATTGTGTAAATTGTGCAGTAAACTATTTAAAAAAATTAACCAATTACTTAAAATTAAGATAAAAATTCAATTATAACATTCTGTATTTACATCTACTGCCAGTAATATGTACAGTATATGTATACACACTGTAAGGAAATATACATTTTATCTACGAAAATTATGATTGCACCCTTTTTTCCCTTATGTATTTTTGACTCGTTACGATTAAATTAGATGATAGCATTGTAGTTGTGGGTGTGCTCGTTGTCTCCTGGCAACCAATATTTTTAGGCCCAGTCCACCATCGATGATAATACTAGTGGCATCAACAAGCAGTAATATCAGGTCATCCCATAAGTCCTGTCCGAATTTTAACTTTTTGCTAAAATGAACGAAATTTAAAGAGTATTTTATAATGTCTAATAGAGCTGAACATTATTTTTATGTTTAGATGCATTTAAACTGATCAAATTTTATTTCAGAGAACAATAAAATTAAATTTTGTTTGATTAAAACCCTGCTAACATGGAAGTACCCAAGAATCATTTGAGGCACATAATGCTTTATGAGTTCAAGAAAGGAAATTCAGCAGCCGAAGCGGCTAGAAACATTCACTCAGCTTATGGAGAGGAATGTGTGAATGAAAGAACTTGCAGAAGATGGTTTGCAAAATTCAGAGGTGGAGATTTCAGCCTTGAAGATGAAGATCGAATCGGACGTCCAGTTGAGTTTGATGAAAAGCTTCTTGAAGCAGTCCTTGAAGAAAATCCTGCTTTATCAGTTGAGGAATTGGCAGTGGTTCTCAGTTCAAACCATACAACTGTTCATCGTCATCTTCAACAACTTGGAAAAGTTCCTAAACTTGGAAAATGGGTGCCTCATGAATTGTCTGAAAACAACACCAAATCCCGAGTTGACATCTGCTCTTCTCTCCATTCTCGCCAACTTGTTTCACCTTTTTTGGATAGACTTGGGACTTGTGACGAAAAATGGATCTTTTATCGAAATGTTAAGCGTCGTAGACAGTGGCTTGGTAAAGGGGAAGTACCCCAGCCACAGCCGAGAAAGGAACTTCATGGGCAAAAGGTTCTTCTTTCAATCTGGTGGGATCGCCAAGGAATAATCCATTTTGAATTCTTACCACCTAATGCAACAATTAATGCTCAAATATACTGTCAGCAATTAGAGCGTTTGAACCAAGCTTTGAGGAAAAAAAAGACCTGCTCTAGTGAATCGAAAAGAGGTGATATTTCATCAGGACAAAGTGCGACCCCACAGAGCAAGAATCACGTCACAAAAGATCGAAGAACTTGGTTGGGAGAAAATTCCTCATCCACCTTATTCTCCTGATCTTGCTCCTTCAGACTACCATTTGTTTCGTAGCTTAAAGAATCATTTGGAAGAAACAGCTTTTGTAACACAGGAAGAGGTTAAAACTGACATTTGTGAGTTCTTCAAATCAAATCCAAAAGAATTTTACAGTAATGGAATTAGTAAGCTTGTTAATAGATGGAAGGAAGTCATAGATAATCAGGGAAAATACATTGTTGATTGAATCTGTAATTAAATGTAACATTTGGTCACTTGTTTTCTTTATTCAAAATTCGGACAGAACTTATGGGATGACCTGATATTAAAGACATTTTAATTAAAATATCAAATATGCAACCTAAATATATGAATCTCCAGGCTTTGAAAGGGAAATTCCGTAAAGAAACCATAGAATTTAAAGCAAAAACATCTATAAGTTCATTGATATTTAAATTTTAACTTCAAAGTAATTGCCATATCCGAAGACGCATTGCGAAAAGATGCCTTCCAAAAGTTAAGAGAAGTATTAAGAAACGGAAAAATTTCGTTAGAAACAAAGAAAAGTATTTAACTGTTATGTAATATCAGTCCTTCTAGATGGCAGTGAATGCTGGACAATCGTTTCATAGATGAAGAAGAGACTTCAAGCAATAGAAATGTGGATCTACAGAAGGATGCTGAGAATACCATTGACGGAACATGTGAGCAACGATGAAGTTTTAGAGAAAATGGAAACAAAGAGGACACTTATACTTAACATCTAGAAGAGACAATGGAAACTTCTAGGGCACATAATGGGGAAAGAGGATTTGAAAAATTTGCTATTCACAGGACCGACTGAAGGCAAGAGGATCAGCGGAAAAAAAGCATAACCTAACCCCCCCCGCGGAGATATTGAGTAAATTCATAGCGGAACAAGATTTAGAAGCGATAACAAAGAAAAAAAAATATTAAGAGTTACAAGCGACAGGAAATTTAGTCTTGAAGGGACACGACAGATAGGAACATTTCCATAAAAGTAAGATATCTATTAATATCACAGAATAATATGTGATCAACACGGTGAAATTGTTTAAATGTATTTTTTCTAAGCGTACATGAATATAAAGAACAGTATAAAAATCATTCCTTTATTTAAATTACGGCATTAATTATTACAGCTATTGGTTAAATAGTAGTGCAGATTTGAGATCTTCCGTCTTGGTTGTGAACCAGGCAAGGAGAAAGATAACATTGAATTCAAAATCGTATGTAGCTCATGAGAGTGTCGTGGAGTTTACAATGATTTTATGATGCCAACAGTGATTATTTAATCTATCAATCAACTACTATATTATTATTATTATTTTTTTATTTTCTTTGATTTCTGGCGTTTACACATTTCTTTCGGGTCCCGTCCAGGGACCTAAGGTTAGAAATGGCATCATGACACTTTCCACTGACAAAAAAAAAAAAAAAATTACATAGATAAAGCCCTTCGTAAAGGTGTGGGCTGTACTTGTCAGAACAATTTTTTGTATCTCCTTTAGGCATGGACTTCCAGGAATCCCTTCAATTAGTCTACTGCAATCTTTTCCAATCAGTCCTAGGGCTCCAACTACAACAGGGATTGTTGATGTTCCCATATGCCACATTTTCGAGATTTCTATTTCAAGGTCCTTGTATTTTGACAGCTTTTTGAATATCTTCAAAGATACATTGCAGTCAGCAGGGACCGTTTTTGTTTGTGGTCTTTAATAACAATATCTGGGCGGTTGGCCTTGATTGTTCTGTCAGTGTGTATTGTGTAATCCCATAGAATTGTAACAGGTCCTATCTCCGTAACCGGGTCTGGGTGGTGTTCATACCAGTTTCTTTCAGTTTTCCTTTATTATTATTATTATTATTATTATTATTATTATTATTATTATTATTCGTAGTAGTAGTAGTAGTAGTAGTATATATTATTATAATATATTATTATAATATGTATTTTATTATAATTATTTTCTATTTTAAAAATATGCTTCCATCGCTACACAGGAATCATCATGTTTCAAAACAGAAACTAAAATTTTAAATTTAAATATAAAACTAAATTTAAAATCCATAGCTCCGTTCCATTCTCAAGCGATTTTTGGAATAACATATTAAGAAATTTACTTCATTTATAAGCACATACAATCTTAATATTTTAAATTGTTAAGATTACGGAAAAATTCAATCATTTTGATAAGGGGTGTTTGGGTTTTAATTTCCCTAGACAACTTATGTATCAAATATAAGTTACTTTCAAAATATATACATTATTATATTATTAGTAACTGAGCAGACGTTTTTATTAAACTTTTTCTTTTATTTTCCTTTTCGTTCTCAAAAAGCCGTTCCACAAATATTATTACCACAATACTGCAGCTAAAACGCTGCCTTCCTCCTAGACTAATTTACGTGATTATTTAACACCTGGTTAAATAGAAAACAAAGGAATTTATAACTTTCCAAAAGGGATTAGCAGGACAAACCAGAATTCGAACTCGGCTTATCGTGTTCATTTTTACTGTCAAGAACCATTATGCCAACCGCACTACACGTGCCGCTACACTGTTTCGTGACTGTGATCGACATATTTACCATGGGTGACAGAGGTTGGCGTTCTGACTCTGGTGTGATTTCCAATATTCTCCTCACTTGGAAGACTGGCGCAACACAATCTTCTTGACGTCTCTCTCACATTTGACCTTGTGCCATACAAAGTTAAGCTTATGGACAATTAAGACTTCATTCGTAAAAATCAGTTGATATATGTTCACAAATATTAATTACCACAATATTGTCGCTAAAACGATGTCTTTTCCTGGTTAAGTATACATGACTACTACTCTTCTGGTTATGGGGATTTATAACTTTCTACAATAGAACTAGAGGAGGGGTATGAAAACAAGCAGACTCAACCGGAATTTGAACTCGGTTTAACGGGTTCGTTTACTCTGCTGATAACCAGTGCGCTCAACGCACTACACGCGTCGCTACAGTTTCGTTGCTGTGATAGATGCTTATTTGTCGTGGGTGACAGATATTGACGTTCTGACCCTGGTATGATTTCTAATACTCTCCTCACTTGGAATACTGGCGCAACACAATCTTCTTGACCTTATTTCCCACCAATTTGACCATGTGCTATTCAAAGTTAAGCTTATTGACAATGAGTACACTTTCAACAACGCAAAAGTTAGAATGGGTGGGGAGGACAATGATGATGACTGAGCGGGTATTTTGATTTCTTGTTTTGAGGTGAATTATTCATTGCATTGTTGATGACGTGAGAAATTGGCTGGACTTTTTTGTTGTCCGCTTTCCGTGTGTGTTGGTGGTGTTGCGGCATGGGAGGACGTGGGAAAATCGGTATTTTGAAAAATAAATAGATTAGTAAAACAATAATATCTAAAGAAGTCAGTGGCACGAACCATGTTCTGGAGAATAGAGGACATACATAAAATATATAGAAGGCTGTTGACTGATGTAAAAATGGAATTGGTTAGAGGCTAGAGAAGAGTGTGTGTGAGAGAGAGCAAGAAAGAAATAGTGAGAGAGGGAGGGAATGGGAGGGAGAGAGAAACAGAGAGACTTAGCATAAGAAAGAAGAGAATGAGGGAAAGACAAACTTAAAGAGGGAGAAATAGAAGAGAGCAAAACTTAAATATTTCGCTATCGATAGATAGAAAGAAAGAGAGAAAAGGGATCAAAGAGATAGGGAGAGAAATAGAGGGAAAGGGGGAGAGAGAGAAAGATAGACAGCTTAGTGCGAAATATGAGCGAGAGAGAGAGAGGGAGAGAGACAGAGAGCATAAGAAAGGAAAGATTGAGTGAAATATAGGCTTAGAGAGGAAGAAAGAGGTGAGTTAAACTTTGTATGAGAAAGAGCGAGAGAGGCAGACGGATTTAGAGAACTTGAGAAAGGAGAGGATGAGGGAAAAATAAACTTAGGGAGAAATATAACAGAGCGAATCTTAAAATTTTCGCTTTAAATAGAAAGATAGATAGATAATGAGTGAGTGAGTGTGTGTATGTGTGTGTGTGTGTGTGTGTGTGTGTGTGTGTGTGTGTGAGAGAGAGAGAGAGAGAGAGAGAGAGAGAATAGTAAATGGAGGCATTTGAAAATAGTAAAAAAGATATTTGAAGGAAGTAGACGAGGTGATGACATTGCTTAAAAACTATAAAGAAGAAGAAGAAGAAGAAGAAGAAGAAGAAGAAGAAGAAGAAGAAGAAGAAGAAGAAGAAGAAGAACAACAACAACAACAACAACAACAACAACAGTGCATATCCAGGGAAAGTATTCACAGATAATTCCAGAACAGGTGTAGGTGGATGGGAGGGTGACGTGTGAAGAGAACTGAACAAAAGAGAAAAAGGAAAAGCTAAAAAGAAAACTAATATTCTGAAAAACAAAATATATGCAAATTCATTCCATGTTGATGAATTAATTCACTGTAGATTTTATTAGTACACAAATGTACTAAACACGGTGTTGATAGAATACAAGATACTTCATCTCAATCTTACCCTACTGTTTTTTAAATTTAAAATACTTATATTTTATTTATGAATTTCTAGGATGAGAACTTATCATAATTTACATTATTTACATTCGGACTATTATCCTTATCTTTGTTGTTATTATCACGCGATCACCTTCTGTCGGAATTTCTGGGGTGAGAAGTTATCATTATTTACATTTGGACTATTATCCTCATCTTTGTTGTTGTTGTTATCACGTGATCGCCTTCTGTCAGAATGTCTGGGATGAGGAGTTATCGTTATTTTCATAATTTACTGTAGGACGAATAGCCTCGTTTTTGTTGTTATTATCACAACGTTTCCGCAATTGTGCCCTCCAGTCTATTTTCAGGTGTTAGTCGATCTGGATAACCTTCAGGGAATTTAGTACTGGTCATTTCAATTAATTTATGGGAGTAGATTATTCTCGTTCCGCTGTCCGGGTCTCGGGATATTTCTTTTTGTCCCTTTTCTCAAATCCTACTTAGTTTTTGTTCGTCCTGTTTCCACTGAGTCTATGTCTTTACTACCCGGATCACGGATTGAACTCACAATTACTATACCACTAAATCCACGAACCAATGCTTTAATCCACTAGGCTATTATCCATAGAAGGAGAACAATCTACCGCTGTAGATTAAATAAAGTGTTCAATTCGAAATTTTCTGAAGGTTTCAAGTGAAGAAGACCCGAGGGCATAGTGGTCAAAACGTTGGAATAACAACAACAAAATTACATAATATTTTAATTCATTAATTTTTTGATAGAAGAGTATAGAACATAAAGGCATACATTGTGGAAGGTTTACTGATTCCTAAAATACTAAGTCTAAATTTATAGTATATATGACAGGAATTGAAAAGAGTATAGTGAATCAACTGCTAAGTCTGCAACTAAGAAAGTTGGGTCACCGTGTGGTGCCAGACAATTTTTCTCGACAGAATCTATCCTACATACTTATAAGTCTACCATTCTTCCTTGCGCAAATGGCCCGATGCTCCTTCTATATATTTAAAGATTCTTGATAAAATCCAAAGAAGAATCTGCAATTTTATTAGTCCTGACCTGGCATCTCGTCTTCATCTTCTTTTCCATCACTGTAAGGTAATTTTCCTATGCCTTTTCTATCAATACTTTCATGGTAATTGTTCTTATGAGCATTCTGAAATGGTACCTAGACTTTATGAATTTAAGCGCAGTACTAGATTGGTAGCAAGGTCTCATCATTTTACAGTTGAAATGCCTAGATGAAACCGTAAGTCTTATGCTAACAGTTTCTTCTCTCGCACTTCTCGCTTGTGTAAGTCTTTTCTGGCGACTTGCTTCCCAGTCAACTTTGAATTTGAAAAATGCAGATGCAATGTCAATCGTCATCTTCTGTCTGTTTAATTGTTTTTCTTTTATTGCCCTTTCTCCTTAATAGTAATTCTCATATTCTTTGATATTCAGCAATCTCTTACATCCTAGAGACTTTATTGCCTTGCTTAGGGTGAAATGGTTAAAAAATATAAATTAATCTTCTTGGGTATTATGGATTTTACAAGTAAATATGTTGTGGTAAACAGACAATTATTACTGACGGTATTTAAAAAATGCAATGTCGTTCAGGACGTGGGCGACAATGTCTCTTCACAGATTCATTTGTTTTATTATCTGTGAATTGCGAGGCATTCTTGAGAAAATCTTGTTGCGATTTCCTGTTACCTTGGAATTCAGAGTTTTCATGCATCTGATTATCACGCAAGGCTATAGAGCTCGCTATTTAATCCATAGCTGCAAGGAGAAACCACAAGGAATTTAAATACAAGATTATATGAACACAAAAGGGATATTTTACAAAACAACACATTAAACTTTTGAACCCTGCATTCATGAACAATTTTAAACCTTCTGGATGAGCTCCTGAGTCAAAATTCGCAAGTAATTGCTATGTAATGTTTCACGATAAATATAAAAATAATTATAAGCGTTTACTCATCGTTCAACCGGTTGTTGGACATTATGTCATTTTCTCTACCACTGTTTAACCGGTTGCTGGGTATTACGTCATTTTTCTCTATCACCGGTAAAGCAGTGGTCAGGGCTCAAAGGATTAAATCTATTAGTTTCTCATCGTTACAAGACTGACCACCATTTTGATTTAAAACATGCTACTCTAATTAAAAAAGAAAAACAATTCACTGAAACGAAAATGTTTCGAAAATGCTATAATCGCAAGATCAGCCACAGTAATTTTTTTTCTTACAACATTTCACCAATCTTTTCTATTATTACAATGTGGGATGCATAATAAGAAAATTGATCGGCGTATAAACAAAAAGAAAGATAATTTAAATGAAATCGCCTAGATTATATACCCAATACACATAATAAAAACATTATATACCCAATACACATAATAAAAACATTATATACCCAATACACATAATAAAAACATTATATACCCAATACACATAATAAAAACATATATTTTTAAATTTAATATTCTCAGCGTCACTCGTTTGTGCGTATATGTTGCCGCGTCAACTTAAAAAATTAGTCTGATGAAGTCCTAATGTCGAAACTTGTCACCCGAATACTTTTAACATCTTTTCATACTTCTTTCCCCTAAAATTGTTCTTGATATATAAAAAAATTATATATCGTTATCCATATATATATATATATATATATATATATATATATATATATATATATATGTCATTTTAAGATTCTACCAATTTCCGGCTAGCTCGCTGGTATCGAAACATAAGTACAACTGATAAATTTAAAATTTTAAAGTAATTATAACAGAGAGCGTTCGTGTGTGTGTTTTAAAAATCCCTGTCAAAATGAAATGCAGATTTTAGCGCAGTTACAATAAGTTTGTCTTTGCAATTTACTCTTGAAGATGATCTTAGAAAAGGTTGAAAGTACTTGGGTTAACAAAAACTACGATGCCTTCCTTGAACTTCATCTTAACATCATGAAACTGATCAGACAACTGAAAAGGATCAGTATAAAGATAAGTAAACACAATGTGTCTATATTATTCAATGAAATATATATGTGTGTGTGTTTGTTTCTCTCTCTCTCTCTCTCTCTCTCTCTCTCTCTGTGTGTGTGTGTGTGTTAGCTTAAATCGTGACAAAACCAACAAGCAAAAAACTTCCATTTATCTAATAAGATACTTATTTTTATTAATGTTTTACACTAGAAATTCCCTCCAAAATATTTTATGATAGAATTACATTGCGAACAATGAAACTATATGTTCTGCGGCCAGGAAGCAAAGCAAGTATTATTGACAGTATTTGAATGATGTATAATCCCCACAAAGTTAATTTGCCCTTGTGACAGTCAGTTTTTCATGTTATTGTACTTTTATCTGTCGACCCAGTTTCAGTTCAATTAGCAGAAATAATGTGACAATAGCTGAGCAAAATGACATCAAATTATTTTAATGATAATAAATGTGAGCGTCATAAAAAAAGTATTCTCTTCAGTCAGTTGACTCAACAGAGTTGAGCTGGTCTCATGTTGGGGAAGCAATTGTTATGGACACATTAATTAGATAATTTTAATAATAAGAACATATCGTATGATGAGGGTAGTAATGACAACAATAACAATAATATCTATCTATCTATCTATCTATCTATCTATCTCATTTTTCTTTCTTTCTCTCTATTTCAGCTCTATCTTTTTTCTATCTCTCTATCTATCTATCAAATTCAGTTCCATCTTGTTTTCTTTCTTTATCTATCTATCTATCTATCTATCTATCTATCTATTAAATTCAGTTCCTTTTTGTTTTCTTTCTTTATATCTATCTGTTATATTAAGCGTATGGTGATAGAACAAAGAAGAAAAAAACGAAGGTATAAAGAAATAAACAATTGTATTAACGTAAAATATAACAAATGATAAATCGGTGTAAATGTCTCTCGTTGAAAAAAAAAAGGGGGAGATAAGTGGAATTGTAAAAGGCGTCCATAGAGGCGTACGGAACGAGAAGGAAGATGAGTTGTGATTTACTTGGGCGATGACCTTTAGCGAGCTGACTCTTGGTGATGCGAGGTCGCCTTCCGACGAAGTCTGTGAATCTGGCCCAAGATGCCGCCCAAATGCCGAAAATGTCCCTTTGATGGGCTTTTTATGTCCTTTCTTAGACTCAAATTAACTTATTTTGTTTCATTAGACAGAAGTGGGTGCTATTCTGGATTATATTGCTTATTTTTTCTTTGGGTGTGTAAGTAAAAACAGAAGTTATATGCGGAGTTTTGCGCAGTTGAAGAAATTTTAGTTCAATTTTGGGTTTTCGGAGCGTTCACATCCGGCCATTGATGGAAATTAGTGTAGCATAAATCAGAAGAACTGGTTTTAGGAAGAATCTATCTATCTATCTATCATATACCTTACCTATGAACACTAATGGGTATATCCCAATCCTCATAAATTACGTTAGACACTATTGTAAGTGGGGATAATATGGTGTCTAAGTAGTCCACCACTAGTAGTGGTTTACCTACTTCACACCGCTGGCGAGTATTATATTTTGTTGATCTTATAAAGATTACCATTTCATTTCCAACCTTCGTTTTGGCTATACCTCATTCAGAAACCCTTTCTAGGTTACAACAAGCTATCTCTTTCTTTCTTTCTTTCTTTCTTTCTTTCTTTCTTTCTTTCTTTCTTTCTAAAGTGCTGGATTGAATAGCAACGAGAAAATCCTATGGGATATTACGATACAAACAGTGACAACTTTGGAGCACAATAAACAATCTTGTTAGATAAACAGAAAAATATTTTCTCCTTGACAGAAATCTCATGACAACCAGACATGAGAAGGAAAAGAAAAACAATCGACAACTTCAAGAATTTTATCATCCTTTTCTCACTCCTCCTCACTAAAGTCTTTTTATTCGGGTTCGTTCCCTGTAAACCCTTGCGATGAATTATCTCCATTATCTTCGTATTCCATTCGGACAGTTTCTTTCCAAGAACATCTATTTC